GGGGGGGGGGGGGGGGGGGGGGTCGGATAAGATCAAAGCTCTGATTTAAGTGTTGATAAAGTTACGACAGCATGAGTCGAACAGAGAGACAGGACACAGATAGAGTTCTTCAATGGGCTGAATGATGCAGTTAACAAGTCAAGAGTGAAATCCTCCCAAAGAGTACGTGAGAGGAAGATCAGGTAAATGTCCTTCAGATGGCTTCAAATCCACGTGCACTCCCTCATGAGATGTTTAAATGTTTATATTACCTTTTAATAAATGAGCAGCTTAAATGTGTAATCTGGGTTCCCAGAGTGACCCTGATGAAAAATTCCATAACTTTTCCATGACTTTCCCTAACTAAGTTAATAGTACTTCCATGAACCTAAATATTTAATCCCTCTCTGGTTCGCTAATGTTGCTTTTTCACCTTGAAGAGGTCCTGTTTTAATATGTATAAAGTTTTTTTAAAAGCTCTCAAAAAGGGGTGCAGTCTTTTTAAAATGTCCCAAAAAACAACATCTATATTACAAGATGGTGAAAGAATAAGCTGTAAAAGTCCCTTCAAACTTTCCCAGAGATTTAAGCCGGTTTCCTGACGTGGCGATATCCCTGAAGTTCTGGGAAACCTTTTTAATGGATAAAAACTGCACGCGCACACACACACACACATATTGCCTTTCACTCTGTTTTTTCCTACCTTGGCCCTGATCTGTCCCGAGGTCGACACTTTGCGGATCAACTTGTGTGACGTCTCTTCTTGTTCCCCGTCGCTGTCCGATGACTCTTCTCCAGCTTCTCCAACCTGAACAAAAAAAGTAAGATAATGGTCAAATATTGTATAACACACAACATCTTGGGGCCTTAAAGCACAAAAATTGAGGTCTTTACCATCCAGAACTCATGTGAGGAAAACGTCCTCCTTTCAAATTGTAGTTTTTTGTTGCTTAGTCTCCATGTTAAGATGTGATCGATGAGCAGCTATTCTGACGACTGTAAGCAGTTTAATTGGCTTCAGACACATTTCTTTATTGATATAACAGCTTGGTCGAATTTATACAAAACGGACGGAAAAAGCCAATATTGGACGGACATTGAGTGTCCATAAAACGAAACTTTTAACTTCTAAAAAAGGCAATAAAACTACTTTAGCTGTCGCCATGGTTTTAGAAATACTTTGGTCATAAACTCGAGCAGCCCCAGATTTTTTACTAATTTTGATATTTTCTGCATGTTCCATCCTTTGAGTTTTAACAACACGATGGTATAAAACCTGTTTTCTCTGATTGCTCTACAGCAGGGATGCATTCATGCCGTATGTGTAGTTTTTATATTAGAAAATGCAAACAGCACAATATCAAGGACATGACCTCTGCGTCATCAGTCGTAGCTAAAGCCCTGCTTTAGATTTCTCCTATAGTCCTTCAAATTAAAAGATACACAGGATTGGGAGTCACTTCTCAGACATTCAGCTCTTCCAAGGCACTTAGTACAGTGTGACCATTAAAGATACTTGTTGACACATTTACTCTCTGGTTGCTTAAACTTACTGGAAATGACTTTACTTGCTTAGTTCATCATGAGGCTCACATTATGAACACGTTTTTTTTTTTTCAGTCATCACTTCCCGTGTGCTGAGAAGATGCTTACTTTGATGCACTTCGGGCCATACATCACCACATCGCCACAGATATTCTACAGGTATTTAAAAAATGACTTATTTTCACATATTCTGAGGATGGTTTTGCAGCTAAAATCCATAAGAGATAATCAGTATGTGTCTTATTTCCCCTGCAGGATGAGTAGAGTTGAGTTTATATGTTGGGACAGGCAGGTTCAAAAACTAAAACTCACTTAGAAATAAGTTCTTATATAGTTTGAGCCGCATATGTTTGATGTGAAATCACCCTAGAAATAAACAGGTGTTGTTTATCTTTAAATCCACCCCTCCTCTTAGGCTGCCGGTCAAATTAAGCCATTAAAAAAGTTGCAAAAATGCCACAAAAATAGTCATTTTATTAAGCATGAAGGCCTTTAAGGGCTTAAATTGTGCAATTAACATGCATGTTTGTTGAAGTGTAAAGGAAGTCTGGCACCAACCCTCCCTCCTTTATGTGGTCAATGTCTAATATTTAAGCAAAGAAAGTAAACCTGTGTTGTTTTATAACTTTTATCAGGAGACTCTTCCCTCCTGCAGCCCCACTTTGCCATGTTTTAACCCCGACTTTAGCGTTTAAACACACATTGAGCCGTACTTACAGTGTGAGTCCTCTCAGAGTCCCCTGGGGGAGACCCCAGCGACTCGCCGTGCTCCGCCACATACAGGATGTTAGGGTTCAGCTTAGAAGCCATGGCGAGCTCGCAGGTGGGAAAGCGAGAGAGGGATGCAGAAAAAAGGAGGCAAAAGTTTGCCAGTTGCAGAAGAGGAGGGCTTCTGAATAAAAGAGGAGGAAGAAGAAGAAGAAGAGGAGAGAGAGAGAGAG